TATTTGTAAAGTGTGTTAATAACTGTGCTAGTTACACCCCTGTTGGTTGCCAAGGGACTTAGGACACTTTGGGTTTCATAAACAAAGGATTGTAAGGCTGTCAGAGAACCTCATGGAATCCAACATCATGTGGAACAACCAGACCAAAGGAGGGACTTGTTGCCTTTCGCTCAGTTACGTTATCGGTCTCAGCCTGAGGGGCAGAGGCACCGAGGACCTTCCCGTGTGTTGGGGGAAAACCCTAGAGAAGGGGGTTGTTGAGAACCAGAGGAGGGATAGACTCTGTCCTAGCCAGCTTCGGCTGCCGTCACAGAGCACCACAGATCTGGGGGCTTAAACAACAGGTATTCATTGTCTCACTGCTCTGTGGGCTGAAAGTCCAAGCCCCGGGGTCAACGGTGTCGGTTCTTTCTGAGGGCCGTGAGGAACACGGTTACTCAAGATCCCTCCCCTTGGCTTGTAGATGGCCGTCTTCTTGCTGTATGTTCACACCGCGTTCTCCCCCTGAGCACGTCCGTGTTCTGATCTCCTCTTCTTATAGGGACACCACTCGCATTGGATTAGGGCCCGTCCTAATGACCTCATATTAACTTAATTAGCTCTTTTAAGATGCTGTCTCAAAAAGTTACATTCTGGGCACTGGAGGGGGAGTTGGGCCTTCAACATGTGACAGGGTGGGGGACACACGGTTCGGCCCCTAACACACCTCCCCCAACTAAAATTTGGTATGGACGTTGAATGATGACACGACACGTACACACAGGGGGCATGGAAAGGTTACCACTCACACAATGAGACTTTCTGGGGTGAGCAGGCTCCCAAGATGGTCCAGAAGTGGCTTGAGAAAGCAAGACTGAAGGCTGGGCTTGGGGTTTTGACGGTGGTTGGTGGGTGAGCTGGGTGAGGGTTCCCAGGCAAACCAATGGGCTTTTTCATCAACTCGCCCGGAAGGGGGCAGAGGGGCGAGGGCGGGGTGAGGCTTAATGGCCACCAGCAGCCAAACATCAGGGTTGCTGGAGGTGGGAGTGGGCAGGGGGATGGGCTAAATGCACGAGGGGCATTAAGGAGGGCACTTTTGGGGACGAGCACTGGGTGTTACATGTAAGAGATGAATCACTGGGTTCTATTCCTGAGGGCAAGACTGCACAGTATGTTAACTAACTTGAATATAAATAAAAAGGAGAAAAAAAACCCTATGGATATCAGGCTACGGCAAAATAATAATAATAATAATAATAATATTGTAGAAGTCACAAAAAAATGGAGTCAGGCTCTATTACAAGAGCCTGCTGTCAATCCTCCACATCTGCCCAATCATTTATAAAACCCATTCCTTCTCACTTCCCCATTTCCTCGGCCCTGAAGTGCTGAGATCCAGAGATCTCTGAGCTGAGGGACGAAGAGGTTCATGGGCAGGTGCCTCAAAGCCTAAACTTTGCTCCGAGCTGTAGAGAACGGTGCTTGTAGAAGAGCCTGGGGGGCTGGAGCCATGGTGGGGAGACAGACAGAGTTTGGAGGACCCAGCTGGCCCCTGAAAACAAGAAACCCTCATGCCTTCCTTTCCCTCTCCGTTCAGAATGATTTCTACCTTCTGGAATAATCTGCTCAGGATCAGACAGAAAATCCTCATGGCTAGGATGACAGCTGCGCACTGTGAAGTCAGAGCAAGGAGCCAAAAGCCCTTAAATCAAACCAAAGGGGGATCCACCCAAATGTCATCTCCTCCATGAAGCTGCCCCCCCACCCCGTGTCCCCCTCCCAATCCCTTGCTCTGTGGCTTGTGACCTTGCCCGGGGCCGTCTCCTGTTAGTGCCTGCTCCTGGTCAGACCTTGTCTCCTGGATCCTGGGATCGAGGTTGTATTTTATGCACCTGTGAGTCCCCGATTCCTACCCGTCCCTGTCCTTTCCCACCAGCCTGCCTTTCATGTCCTGACCCCCCCGGGCACACCGGCATCTATGCGTCTGTCCTCATTCCACGCTCCCTTCTTCTGCAAGACATCGCACATGCTGTTCCCCTTTCTGGAACCGTGTTCCGCACGGCACCCCCCTGCTTTCACTTGGCACCTCCTCATCCGCTCTTGGCCCAAGTGTCCGTTCCTCAGGAAACCCCTCCTAACCTCCCCTCGCTGCCCCTGGCGAGAGCAAATCCCCATACGGTCAATACTAACTCCTGAACTTCCCCTTCGGAACCCCATATTGTGGGGTGGCTACAGCCCCCTCAAAGGAGGACAGAGTGATGTTGCTCCTAACGATGGAGCTCAGTAAATAGCTGGAACGACTCAGCAAGTGAATGGATGGATGAATGCAAGGACCCGTAGGTGTTTCTGTTTCTCTTCCAGCCCAGAGCAAGCCTGAGCTCGGAGGGGAAGGGAGCCTGGGGTGGTGGGCGCAGAGGTGTGCCTTGTTTTCTGAGCCCAGTTCTGTCATTTACTTGCTTTGGGCAAGTTGCATCCCTTTCTGCAAGAGGAAGTGTTTGGCTGGATGAGCTAGCTTTAAAGCTCTTTCGTGACAGCGGAGGGTCCGCTGTACTGTCTTAAACACAAACCTCCCCTTTGTCACCCGAAGCCCCGGAGTAGAGAGTTACAGAAATGCCTGACCCTGGAGACGCCACTGCGATTAAGAAGTGGTGGCGCGCCCTCTGGTGGTCGAACGGCAAACTGCGGGAACCGGGCCTCGCAAAGCCCTTGCTTCCGGGCAGAGGGTGATTTTTTGCAAGACTTCTTGGGGGAGCGCCTTAAAACGCAATTCCTCCACCCACCCTATGCCAGCCCCATGACTCTGATTCAGGAAACTTGAGGGAAAGCCTGTGGTTCTTCGCTTTTAACAAGCACCCGCTCATGGAGGACCCGAACCCGTATTTTGAGCAATGTTGGTCTTGGGCAAAAAGCAGCGAATCGGTCAGTTTCCCAGCGGCCTATGTGGGCAGCTGTCTCCATCCTGCCTGTGACCTTGAGTGTGGCTTCAGGAAGTAGCAGGGCCAGGTTCGCACACAATCTCACCCTCAGAGGCTCTCACTCCCAGCATCCCCTGGTTAAAGAAAGCCCTGTTCCTTTGGAGGGGAAAGTGGGGGGGTGTTGTGGGCTGAGATTAAACCATCCCGTTTCTAATAGAGGCCAGAGTGGAAGGTGCGGGGGCTCCTGGGTGGCTCAGTCGGTTAAGCATCCGACTTTTGATATCAGTTCGGGTCACGATCTCAGGATCATGAGATGGAGCCCCGCGTTGGGCTCTGCGTTGAACACGGAACCTGCTTGTGATTCTCTCTCTTCCTATCTCTCTGCCCCTCCCCTGTTCACACACACACACACTCTCTCTCTAAAATAAATAAATAAATATTAATTTACATTTAAAAAAAAGAAAGAAAGTGGAGGCTACGGTCTTGGGCTTTGGAACCAGATATCCCCAGGTTCAAACCCCAGGTCTCCCATGTACTAGCTGCGTGACCCTAAGCGAGATACTTGATCTCTCCTGGCCTCCACTCGATCTCCCAATTGATGGGAGAAAGCGCACTTCGTGGGATCCCTAGGAAGAGGGATGCTCTTCCCAGGGATGCTCCCTGGGCTGAGCATTGAACATTAGAGGGAAGGCGACAGACGCAGAGGGAAAAATCAATAAAATCCTGTCCCGGTTTCCAAAGAGCCCAGAGTCTCTTTGGGGGACATGAGATGCTGTGGTTTCAGCGACTGCTGCTCTACATCTGGGGTGGTTTGTTACCCTACAATACGTGACCCCCATGCATGTGTACCCACATATCTCAAAGCCAGGCACAAGGTGGTGGGTCAGAGGGGGACAGGGAAATAGATGCGGTGAGTCCGCAGGGAGTCTGGGCAGCCCGCCTGCACCTTCCACATTTTCCAGACAGGCAGCAGGTGTCCATCCACCGGGGCCCCCTAACAACAGGGGTATGCATTGTGTTTTATGAGTGCCCCCCTTAAAGGTCCTTTCTGTGGTCTGAATGTTTGTGACTCCCCCCCACCCCACCCACCCAAATTCACGGGTTGAAATCTTAGCTCCCAAAGACAATGGTCTTAGGAGGTGAGATCTTTGGGAGGTGATTAGGTCAGGAGGGTGGCACCCTTACGAATGGGATCAGTGTGCTTAAAAGTGAGGTTTCAGAGGGGCGCCTGGGTGGCTCAGTCAGTTGGGTGTCTGACTTTGGCTCAGGTCATGATCTCGCGGTCTGTGAGTTCGAGCCCCGCGTCGGGCTCTGGGCTGATGGCTCAGAGCCTGGAGCCTGCTTCCGATTCTGTGTCTCCCTCTCTCTGGCCCTCCCCCGCTCACGCTTTGTCTCACTCTCTCTCTCAGAAATAAATAAACATTTAAAATTTTTTTTAACGTTTATTTATTTTTGAGACAGAGAGAGACAGAGCATGAACAGGGGAGGGGCAGAGAGAGAGGGAGACACAGAATCGGAAACAGGCTCCAGGCTCCGAGCCGTCAGCACGGAGCCCGACGCGGGGCTCGAACTCACAGACCGTGAGATCCTGACCTGAGCCGAAGTCGGACGCTTAACCCACCGAGCCACCCAGGCGCCCCATAAATAAACATTTTTTAAAAAATGAGGCTTCAGAGAAATCTGTTGCCCTTCATCATGTGAGGGCAGGGCCAAGAGGCACCAGCTGTGAATCAGGAGGGGGGCCCTCACCAGAATGTAACCATGCTGGCCCTGGGACCACGAGCCTGTCATTCTCGACAGGGTCCCAGGGGAGGCCGTCCCCCCGCTCCCCTCCCTTCTCTCTGTAATTCTCCACCTTCTCCCTACTTCTAAATCCTCCTTCTTGCCAGGAAAGCATTTAAGAGTCAAGAGACCAGTGCTCAGCCACCTTTTTTGTGAAATTTTTGCAAGGCAGGGGGTCCTCTGGACTGTAACATTCATTGTCTTTGCGCTTCTGTCAAAACCAAGACTGGAAGGGCCTCATTGTTGGTATTTTGTGTGTGCCTGTACCCATTTTTTTTTTTTTAAAGACTGGAAATACATAAATTCAATCTAGCTATAGCTGAATGACAGGCTTACCAATGATTTTATTTTCTTCTTTAGACTTTGTACGTTCCCAGATTTTTCATAGCCTCCATATTACATTGACAATCAACTTAAAAACGATGACAGCCTTTTGAAGGACAATATCCTGGCTTCCCCTCGAGTCCAGAGAATGCGAAAGGGGCTGGGGGTGGTTAGGAGGCAAGGACAGCTTCAGCTGTCCACACCCGTGCTGCATTGGGAAACCAGGACATCCGCAGAGGACTGGGTCTCAAGCTGCAAAGTGACAGAGGGAAGGTCCCCAGGGAGTGAGCCTCATGATCATGTACAGCTCAGGCTGCTGCTCAAGATGCTGGGAAAGTAGCCTCCCCTCGACCGCCTCACCCCTGCCCCTATGGCTGTCCATTCATTCATTCGTTTGTTTGTTCATACACTTCCACGAGGCATCTTCTCTAAGCCAGTCTTGTTGTGATACAGAGATACAAATCTCACTGTGACACGATCTGTTGCTCTTTGGGACCCCACAGATGGTTAATGTGAAACTCCTGGCATTCCAGGGTATGACGTGCAAGGTTCTCACACTCCGTAAGCCCACCCAGAGGCCTAAGGACAGCAAGCAGTCAGATACTGGGCGGGAGCGAACTCTGAGCTTGTGGCCAAGCCCAGTCTGCCGCCAGGGTTGCCGACCTCCGTCCCCATCCTCCGTGCCCTCGGGGGTGACTCCTTTAAGGATCTGAAGGTCCTTTCCACCTTTCCCTGACGCAGGATGTTTTCTGTGGGAGAAAACAGCAACCCTGGCACACAGGGACCACAAGGACTATGAGCAATTCAAGAAACTCCCTAAATTGTAAAATTTGCAAGCATGTGCATAGTTTAGGGAGAGTCCAAGGCTTTCTCCAGATACTCTGTCAGGACCACAATGCAAAAAATGTTTTAAAAGACTGATGTAGCGGGGGCGCCTGGGTGGCCCAGTGGGTTAAGCTTCTGACCTCGGCTCAGGTCATGATCTCTAGGCTTGTGAGTTCGAGCCCCGCATCAGGCTCTGTGCTGACAGCTCGGAGCCTGGAGCCTGTTTCCGATGCTGTGTCTCCCTCTCTCTCTGCCCCTCCCCTGTTCATGCTCTGTCTCTCTCTGTCTCAAAAATAAATAAACATTAAAAAAAAAAAAAAGAAAGAAACATTGGGGCACCTGGGTGGCTCGGTCAGTTAAGCATTCAACTTTGGCTCAGGTCACGATTTCACAGTTCATGAGTTCGAGCCCCGCGTCGGGCTCTGTGCTGACAGCCCGGAGCCTGGAACCTGCCTCGGATTCTGTGTCTCCCTCTCTCTCTGCCCCTCCCCCTCTCACACTCTGTCTGTCTCTGTCTCAAAAATAAACATTAAAATTTTTTAATTTATATAAAAAAAGACTGATTTAGCCATATTTGCACATTTAGGGATAAATGAATCACTCACACTTACGTTGCCCTTACTATCGCCAAAACTTACTCTAAACACTTTGCAGACATGAATTTACTGACTTCTCGTGACAACCGCGAGATCTGGAACGATTATTGCCCTCAGCTTACAGATGAGAAGCGGGCGGTGGGGCCGGGACTGAGCCCCCACAGTCCCTGCTTTTGTCCCCACTGCAAGAAGCGGGCAGGGAAGAAGGGAGCTCTGTTGAGCCCGACTGATGTGCAGCACATCGATGATGTGGGTCCCCTCACGTCTGCCTTTCCACTCAGCGATGGCTCCTCCTTTGACAGGCGAGGAAAGCAAGCTCCAGAGAGGTGGAGCGACTTATCCAGGGTTAACCAGCTCAGCGGCAACAGCCGCCTGTCTGACTTCAGAGCCGGGGGCAGGGGCAGGTCCAGGAACCAAAGGGCAGTCTCCACGCGCTCCCAGCGGGGTCAGGCCACCTGTCCCTCCAGCTGTAATCCACCGCTTGGGGCTCTAACTCAGTGCAGAAACCAGGCTAAGGAAGCAAGACCCAAACGGTTGACTCTGGAAAGGGAATCATTTATTTTCACCCTCATGAACCGACAACCATCTTTCCTCCCTTCATTTGACTCAGCGAGCCTCGATGGAGCACCTACTGCGCGCACGTGTTCTAGCCCGTGCGTCTCAGTGGAGAGCAAAACTGGACTGGCTATTCTAGAAGCAAGGCAGGCTTGTCCAAACAGAGGAAGAACGCGGGCTTCAGTCTAACTCTGGAATCTGAGCTAGCAACTTCTCTGGGCTTTCATTTCCTTATCTGCAAAATGGGATAAGGATAGTCCCTCGGGGGGCGCGTGCACGTGTGTGGTGAGAGAGGAGGAAGCAAGTGAACTTTATCGGCACGGCAAGTTCCTCTGTTGCCCTGGTGTTGACGCACTTCTGTCGTGTGAACTTGGACATGCCCCTGAACCTCAGGGCAGCTGGGTCCAAGCCTGTGCGTGAACCCACTCTACCCCTCTGTGGTCTGCCCAGATCAGGACTCCCAGCCCCATCTTGTTACTCAATGGCATATATTCCACTCAAGTTAAAGCCCCCGAGAACCTGGACACATTCAGAAAAGTTTCCTGGAGGAAGCCTGAATGTCAAGGGCACCCCATTCAGAATATCAGTGGCCATATTGCTTCCTTCCCCAGTGGGCTTAAGAAACAGCCACACGTCCTTTACACATTCAATTGACCCAAAATGGTCCAAGGGTGTTGAGGCTCACTGCTTGCTGGAAATAAAGCAGCTTCGAGATCCCTAACGAAAAAGAAAAATGTGCAATTGGAGTCCTGGCCCAAGGAGGGGTTTGCTCCCACCCCATGCCACCCTTGCCCCTGGGCTGCACTCTCCTTAAAGGCATCTCGGAGGGTTCCATCACAGAACCCTGTAGCTTTAAAGCTGGGAGGTTCCTCAGCAATCGCATAGTCCAGGATTGTATACTGGGGGTCCGGGGCAGGACCCAGATCATGGTTGCAGAGATCTAACTCTCTCCAGTCTCACATCACATCACCCTGAAAGCAGCCTTATCAAGTTCGTGAAGGCACTGGGGTCTGCTGCCCCTGGTCTGGCCGACTTCTTCATTTTGCAGGAGGTGGGGGGGGGGGCGGATGGGGGAACATGACAAACCCAGAGAAGGGAATAGATGTGCTTAAGTTCACATGGCCAGTGAGGGGCCCTGTGAAAAACCACATCCACCAAGGGGACCCCGGGGCCTTAGCATGTGCCAAGCAAACCTTGGTGCATGATGCAAACAGCAAGGGCTAAATTCTGTTGGAGCTACCTCCGCCCCCCGCCCGGAGCGAAGGGGGTTCTCTTGGGAGGGGATGGGCCAACTTTCAGTGAAGATTCCCTGTGTTGAGACTCCACACTGCACCCACGGACCTGTTCATTAATAATTACCTAATCGGGAAGGTGGTAGGTGGTGCCGGGGGCGCCGAGGGATTTTGCCAATGTTCCTGGGCTTCCTCTGGTTCTCAGATAGCCGCCCGGGGGGCCACACCAGGACCGACCGTGAGTAACTCGCTGAGGGCTGCCTCTGAGACTCAGAAGGGAGGGTGACCAACCATTCTAGTCTGCCCAGGACTGGGGGCTCTGGGACATAAGGCTTCTGGTGCTGAGACAGGGAGAGACCTAGAAGTGACACACCCTAGGGCTGGAACGACCCCCACACCTCACTACACGACCCTCCTCATTATACCGGTGGGGAAACTAGGGCTGAGGGCCAGAAACAGCCTCCCGCGAGGCGGGTCTCCTGGCTCCCGACGCAGGTGCTTTTGGAGAGTTCCTGCCAGAGGGAAATTCTGGGTAACTCACTGCAAAGCCAGAGAGAAGTACGAGTCTCAAGGTTAGGATAGGAGAAGGTGTTAGAGCTTGGTAGGAGGGCATGCTATGGGGACGGGTGTTAGGTAGATGAGTGAAGCGACCCACTGTATGTTTTAAGTGACCACCGCAACTTCTGGGTGGAAATCAGGGTAGAAAGACCAGTTGGAAAGCCACAACGGTCTAGGTCAGGGCTCCGAGAATGAGGCCCTGTGGGTCAAGTCTGGCCCCCTGCCTGTTTTTGCATTGCTCCTGAGCTAGGAATGCAAGGTATAATATCAAGATACAATATAAATATAAATATAAAATCTGTCGATGGTTGAAAAAAAATCAAAAGGAGGACGATATTTTGTGACGCATGTAAAATATATGAAATTCACATTTCACCGTCCATGAATAAAGCTCCACCGGAACCCAGCCCCACACTAGGCTGCCTTGTGGGTGTGCGGGTGGCTGCTTTCCAGCTGGCACAGCCAAGTTGGGGAGCTGCAACATGGCCCGCAGTCTGGCCCCTGGTCTGAGTGAGCGGTGCTGGAGGTCTGAGTGAGGATCGTAGCAGTGGGGAGACTAGGAGGTTGAGGGAAGAGGCTGCCGGGTATGCGGAAAGATTGAATGGTTGGGGGTGCGGTCTTGGAAGGCCAGACCCAGGTTAGGGCTGGCAACTGGATTCGGGGCTGAGAACCAGGTAATAACGGTGAGGCTACCCGACGTGGCCGAGCAGATTTAGTGGAGAAAATCGAGCACCCTTGTTTGGGTAGGTTAAGTTGATTAGGAGAAGAGACCAATCCTTTTCCCAGAACTTCGGGCAATTCAGGTTTTTTTGTTTTGTTTTGCTTTGGTTTTTGGTTTTTGTTTTTTTATTTTTGTTTGTTTTTTTTGCATTTTTTTTTGTTTGTTTTGTTTTGTTTTTGTGTGTTTTTTGTTTGTTTTTGTTTTGTGTTTCTTTTTGTTTTGTTTTTTGAGGGACAGAGAGAGAGAGAGAGAGAGAGCTGGGGAGGGAGACATAATTTTAAACAGGCTCCACGCTCAGTGCAGAGCCCGACTCGAGACTCGATCTCACACCCATGAGATCATGACCTGAGCCCATATCAACAGTCAGACGCATAACCGACTGAGCCATCCAGGCACCCCAGGCGAATCAGTTTTTTGAACATCAGTGATCTTATCTGTCTGGAGTGAAGATAAGAATGCCAGTTCTACTGACCTCTACCTGGGTAAGAGGGTCAGACAAAATGGCATTAAAGTGATTTTGCAAACCGTAAAGCACACCATGGATGTTTGTGGAGTTGAGGCTAACGCTTTGGCGCTTCGCATCCTCGGTGCAGTGGGTCACTGGGCTGAGGAAATTAGCTCAAATGGCAAAAGGAGCCCCGGGCTGAGTCTGGAGCCTCATGCTCTAGCTCAGATATTTACCAGTTAGATAAATGACCTCATTCAGTCATTTGGCGAGTCTCGGCGATAAGAATGGAGGCCAGTCCTTTGCAAAGCTCACCGGGACAGGAAGTGCCAGGAGGCGGTGGGCACAAGGAACGTGCTTGGTTAACCCACAGAATATCATCTTCACCACATACTGGGAAGGGGCTGGGTGCTTGCTAGGCTGCCATAGGCCCATCTGCTGGACTTGACCCTATCACTTGTCACCCGGGGGCCCTGCCCTTCCCCGACTTCTCAGTAGGGCTGGGGCTTCTGCTGGGGCATTGCCTGGGCACTCTCTTTCCTCCTATATCCCTGACAGCGCAGAAGATGCATCTTGCCAGCCACCTGCTCCTCCTTCTGGCTGGACTGCTGATCGCATCTCACAGCCAGCTCCTCCCTGAACACAACAGCCAGGGTCACACGGGCAGCCCCCATCCAGAAGCTCCAAGCACAGGTGAGGGCTCCCCCAGCCTCAAGATTGCCCCAGGAAATACAGTCTTTGCTCTCCGCTTCTACCACCTGATGGCTTCCCAGAGCCCTGGGAGCAACATCTTCTTTTCCCCGCTGAGCATCTCTGCCTCCTATGCCATGCTGTCCCTGGGCGCCCGCTCACACAGCCAGACCCAGATCCTCGAGGGTCTGGGCTTCAACCTCACAGAGGTGTCTGAGTCGGACATCCACCAGGGCTTCCGGCACCTCCTGCACGCCCTCCGCCTCCCAGGAGACAGGTTGGAGATGCACACGGGCAGCGCCCTGTTCCTGAGCCAGGAGCTGCCCATCCTTCCGGGATTTCTAAATGACAGTGTGGCCTTCTATGACTCCAAATTATTCCTCACCAACTTCCACGACTCTGTGGGTACCACCCAGCTGATCAATGACCATGTCAAGGAGGAAACTCAAGGGAAGATTGTGGATTTGGTCAGCGACCTGAGCACAGACATCGCGATGGTGCTGGTGAATTACATTTACTTCAAAGGTAAGAGTCAGTTCATCGGTGGGTCCTGTATCTCCCCTCTCCCCCTGATTTACAGATGGATTAAATGTTTAAAAAAAAAAAAAAAAGAGAAAGTGGATGGATGGGGCCAGATAGGGCCAAGCAACCCTTAGAAGATTCATGTGAGAGCATCAGATATTTAAGATCATGTAGTTTAGAGGTTTCCATACCCTCCTATCTTTAGATACGTTTTCTTATTTATTTATTTTTTTTAGTAATGGTAATGTATGAAATGTACAAGTTGAACTTCTGGATTCACGACGAAGGACTGCCACTTATCAACAGTGTAAACAGGGAGGTGGTTGCTGAAGAATACCTCCTTCAAAGTTCTGGTTTTATTTTTTTAATGCTTATTTAATTTTGAGAGACAGAGACAGAGAAGGAGTGGGGCAGAGGCAGAGAGAGAGGGAGA